GGCATGAGTAATACAGCGTTTTTAATCGTTTCCGTGGATCCGTGTGAACGGGGATCATTTTGACTACGTTGTCATCGCTATGCCTTTCAAAAAACGTTTCCGTTTTTTGGTAAATCACTGTCGTGTAAACGTACCCTAAGCCAAACAGTAACAAATTTACTCATTAGACACATAAACAAACATGGCTAATGAGTAGCTGTTTGTCATTTTGAATCTTGACAGCCCCAGTTCTGCAATCATTTCCATTATATGGAAAAAAGTGAACAGGATATTCTTCAAAAATTCACCTTTTGCGTTTCTCAAAAGACATATTGACATTTGATATGAACATGTGATTGAGTAGATGATGCAGAATTTGTTTTTTGTTTTTTGGTGAACTATTCCCTTTATATAACCCTTCTGTCCACACAACTCCAGGAGGATGAATGATTATGCATTGCGAAAATGGCTAATGTGTTTTACCCTTAAAGAAAGCATGGAAAGCCTCGGCGGGGTTACTGAAGTGTAGCAAAACGGTAGTGATATCAATTTACGTTCTGTAATAATTTCTGCTCCTGTGCCTTTAATATTGCCTCTCAAGGTGAATGAAAAAAATGAATGGAGTGATTGAATGGAGATGAGAGGTAGAGAGCTGATATCGGCAAAAAGGAGAGCAAGGAGACCGTCCACGAGATGAAGAGATGGGCAGAAGGAAAGATTGGAAGAGAGAGAGAGAGAGAGGGAGGGAGGGAGAGGGAGTCTCACTTGACCAGAGTTATGTGATGCATTTCACGGTGCTGCATTTCTCCTTTGCTCCCTCTCTCTCTCTTTTTTCTCTCTCTCTCTTTTCTGCAACCTATGCACTAACAACTGATTCATGCTCTCCATGAGAGAGAGAGAGAGCCCGGCACTCGCCAACACAAATGACAGCAGGATTGGGCAATCTGCCAAACAACGTGACTTCAAACACACAATTTTATTGCATGCAAATGCATAAATCAAAGTCAAAACATCAGTGTTACAAATGCTTCAAACGCAGCTTATTCGACACGATATTATGTGTTTTCTTTCCACTATGCAATCAATTACAGTCAGATAAGATTAAAGTCCTGCCCTACATTTTCTGCTCCTCCTGATTCAATGATGTCTAAATGATAGCCTAATGATAATAAAACATAATAAATTGTTACATTTATCTTAAGTTGATTTGCATGATAATATTTAAATATTTCTTCCTAGACGACAACAAGACTTATCTCAGAGTCTCCACCTGTGCTCAGATTGATATGGAGTCCATAAGGGGATAGAAATATGGGTAACACTTTACTTCAAGGGGTGTGCATAAGACTAACATGCCACCTTCATAATCATGACATAGGTTATGATTATGAAGGAAGTTTTATGCATGTTTGTGACAGCTGTGATTAAGTGTTATTCGCTCAGTTATGACATTTTTAATGCAAATATGACATTGTTTGAGATGTCTTTGTCATGACACCTTGACATAAACCAATACATCATGACCTGTCAGTGTCTTTGTCATGACAACTTGACATTAAATTAAGTTTATCTGTCATGTGGTTGGCTTTGACATTGGCTGTCATGAAGTCATTATAACTGTGTCATGAATATTTTTCTTAAGTTTGATAATTAATCTGCTATGTCATGTTTATGACAGGTTGTGTCATCTTAGTAATGTCAAGTTGTCATGACAAAGACACTGACAGGTCATGATGTATTGGTTTTTGTCAAGATGTCATATACACAATGTCATATTTGCATTCAAAATGTCCTTTTTGAGCGAAAGACACTTAATGACAGTTGTCATAAACATGCATAAACCCTACTTCATATTCAAGTCATGGTTATGAAGGTGTCATGCCAGTCTTAATGCCAGTCGAATGGCACTAAGATCAGCTAAAATCAGCTAAGACCAGCAAATCTTTATTGGCTGGTTTAAGATGGGGAAATATTCAAACCAAAAGCCAGAAATCTCCATTACAAACCACTATTTATCATTTACTTTTGTATGCTAATCGTCCCAGTAGCCGTGCTCGCCAAGGCAACCATCACTATTTCGTTATTGTAACTTAGTAAAAATTGGCGCATAACTCACCTCATATCATGTGACCCATCTGAATGATTCCTCAAATGATATGCTACACTTTTCTAACCAATCAGGCATAAGAATTTTGGCAAAACGGAGAACGTCATTGTGGACTGGTAGAGTAAACAACCAAATTTAGGAACCAAGCAAACCTCTAAGCAAGCGTATGCAACACCTTAGCATTGTGGCAGCGCGTTTTTATTCATCAAGGCCCAACACTCCCTGCAGTGGGTGGCTTTTCTCTGTTCTGTCTTTCAGTAGATGGAGTGGCAGCAGTAGAGAGGTCTTCACTCAAGCGTTGCTGCGGCATCATCACTCACTGTGTGCCGGAACGTTACTCTCATCAGCTGCGGCTGGCATTCGGGCCCAGTCAGCAACTTTTCTCTGGCCTGTGTACGTGTGAGTATGAGTGTATGTGTGCTCTGTTAAGGGAGAAATATGTACAGTATTAAAGAGCGGGGACCAGGACGGTGGTACCCCCCTATTTCACTGCGATGTTCTGGAGAGGTGAGATATTTTAAGCACAGGCCGAGCAACAGCGCTTTAAAAGCGGCTTAATGAACCGGTTCACTAAAGCCGACAGCCTTTGTAGAGGAAGCTTTGTTGAAATGCACATTTGCTCACTCACTTGGCACTGAACTAACCCAGCGTCTTTAAGCCCGTCAATCGCTCCAGAGAAGCGCCTGTGCCTCTGTGATATCAACATCCAGGCTGTGTTTCAAGCTCCCTACCTAGGCCCAGATTTGTTTGATTGAAATGTTATTTCTTAAGGGGCTAAAGTGACCGCAATTGGCAGAGACTCATTCGCAAGTCATTCGTTTCGAAATGAGAATCGCCAGATTGAGATTACATGAGTGACCAATGAGTGTCCAACAATGTTCAGTGGCATTTCACTTTATGTAAATGAGCAGTGGCAAGCATTTCAATGAGAAACAAGCCTATTCAAACTGAATCCAGTATTTTTATAATAGAGTAGACTGAAATAAAAAAAAACATCCAACTAAAAAAAAATGTTAAACCAGAAAGATAAGATTTCCCCAATAATTTCAAAGTGCGAGGGACTCAAACAAGTGGAATATACTCACAGAAGTCCTACCCAAAGCTCATTAGAATAATAATCATTTTAGAGTGCGTTTCCTCGGAGGCGGCGAAGCAATTTGTGAAACATCCTGACGCACTTCAAATCCCGAGTGTTTTTATATGCAAACAGAAACCCACTCCGGGGTATCCCAGCGCAGGAATCAGATTCAGTAAGGTGTTGCATTAAGTATGAGCCCATGAAGTATCCATGAGTCGTTCAGACATTTGCAAGGGGTGAACATGACAGACTCATGTAACATTCATGGTGGGAAATGTAATTTTCAAGAGAGTTTTAGATTGGAGATTTGTTGGATGAGAGCTGGGCAAAATACACAGCGTGCAAGGAACAGTTCACCCAAAAAATGTAAACTCTCTCATCATTTAACCACTCTCATGAAGAACTAAACTATTATAGAATATTGATACACAAATTTTGGTGTTTAGCCGAGCCTTTTCCATACAATGGAAGTGAGTGGAGACTGAGGCTGTACCAAGCACCAAAGAAAAAAGTCCCAATTATGGCTTTAGAACGACATGAATGTGAGTAAATGATTAGAAAATTTAGGTAACACTTTCATTTAAAGGGATAGTTCACCCAAAAAATGAAAATTCTGTCAGTATTTACTCACCCTCATGTTGTTCCAACCCCGTAAGACCTTTGTTCATCTTCGGAACAGGAATTAAGATATTTTTGATGAAATCTGAGAGCTGGATCACTCCTCCATTCTAGTCCATAGGCTTCTTGAGGGATTGAAACTTACCGGCCTCGGAAAGTTATTAAAGACATCGTTAACTGACTACAGTGACTCAATCTTAAGTTTATCAAGCGACGAGAACACTTTTTGTGCACAAAAAACGAACAAACAAAAAATTTCAACTATTAATTTCCTTCTCTGTGGGCCTCTAGTCAGTTAAACGTCACACGTAGGCATACGTAACAGATCATACGCGGTTAAACTCGAGGCCCAGAGAGAAGCAAATGAATAGTTGAAATAAAGTCGTTATTTTTGTTTGTTTTTACAAAAAGTGTTCTCGTCGCTTGATAAACTTAAGATTGAGCCACTGTAGTCAGTTAACGATGTCTTTAATAACTTTTCGAGGCCGGCAAGTTTCAATCCCTCAAGAAGCCTATGGACTACTAAGGAGGAGTGATCCAGCTCTCAGATTTCATCAAAAATATCTTAATTCCTGTTCTGAAGATGAACAAAGGTCTTACAGGGTTGGAACAACATGAGGGTGAGTAAATACTGACAGAATTTTCATTTTTGGGTGAACTATCCCTTTAAGGTGCAAGTTACAATTTACTACTATAATAATAACAACAACAGTAAATTCTACAGTAATAACAGTAAATCATTACAAGTAACTAACCCTAAACCAAACCCTAACCGTAACTCTATTGTACATGTAATTATTGAATATTACTCAGTACTTCTCTGAGTGAGTACAATATAACCACTTCACCTTAAAATAAAGTGTAACCCAAGTGATCTCTCCCTATAAAAGATCTTCTCCCATATCCATTGTCTCTTGTTATGCGTTTATGAGCACTTGGGAATTCGACTCCATCTGTGTGTTTGTTAAAAACGCAATAATTATGAATAAGTGAATGTCATGTTCACTCTTGCAGAAATTCCCAAGAGCAGCACTACAGACATACTGGTACATGTGCATTTTCATAAACAAACATGCACACACACACACTTTTCAAACCTCTTCATATATACAGTACATGCATACGTGCACACCGAGCACTGACACGGACACACACCACACACATTCCCCACCCCCACACACAGAAGCATTACTGCAGTGGATGCAGTCTTTAACTCACGTTTGAGTCCAGCAGGTCGATGCTGTCCAGGCTCTTGCTGCGGTGGATTCGGCCCTTGATTCTGCGCAGGGATGGTTTGCCGTGGCCCGATCCCTCAGATTCATCCAGCAGAGAGACGGTTTCTGGGGTGGGGAGGAAGGCGTGGATCTTGGGATAGTAACTGGGAAAGTGACAGACAGACAGTGTGTGTTAGATTGTGGTGTAAATTTAATCTCCATTAGAAAGATGAGCGCAACCGTTAGTGAAATGGAGTGAAAAGGGTTTAAAAGGCTTACACTGCAGGCCCGTATTTGTCTTTGTCGTGTTTGGGGAAGACCCTGAGATTAAAGCACAAGAGAAAGAGAGAGACTATTAATTTTCAGCAACAACAACAACAAAAACACAATAAAATCAATGAAAACAGACTTTAAAGGGATGTTCAACCAAAAATAGAAACTTCTGTCATTTAGGAACACAGAAAAAAAAAAGATATTTGGATGAAATATTGTTTCACAGAAAAAATAAGTAAAGTCATGCAGGTTTGGAATGATATTAGGGGAAGTAAATGATGACACAATTCTCATTTTTTGGGTGAACTGTATTATTGTTGATGACAAAAGTAGCATAGAAATGATACATTACACCTTGACATAGAAGGACCATCAAATAGAAGACATTTAGATGATTTGCATTACATAAGCACAAAGGCATCCATATGCAACAACAATTTAAATATTCAATTGGTTGAGCTAAAAAAAGCATGAAATGTCTGTCATGCTACACCATACTGTAACATGTTTTTTCTTGCGATGCACAAGTTTAAAATACAATTGTTAGGACCATTTTGTTAATTCGCACTAATATACCACACTCTTAGAAGAAATTGTTCTATTTAGAACCAGAAATGGTTCCATCCCCGCTTCATATATGCACTGTAAAAAATAGTTTCAAGATTTGTTATCACAACATATTTTCTTTTGTCAAATCAACTTTATAATAATTTATTTAGTTGAGATAACTTATTATTTTGAGTTTCTGATGGTTAAATTAATCTACTTCATTGTATTAACTCACTTTTTCCAGTTCAATCAACTTAAAATTTTAAGGCTACCCATGCAGGTTACTTACTTTTTTAAGTTAAACCAACAATATTTTTTACAGTGTAGTAATCACAAAATTTTTTCCTTTGTCAAATCAACTTAAATAATTTATTTAGTTCAGATAACATATAATTTTGAGTTTCTGATGGTTAAATTAATCTCCTTCATTGTATTAACTCACTTTTTCCAGTTCAATGAACTTAACATTTTAAGGCAACCAGGTTACTTACTTTTTTAAGTTAAACCATCAATATTTTTTTACAGTGTGGAACTCCAAAATGGTTCTATATAGAACCAATTCTTTTGGTAAAAGGTTCTATTGGCCAAGTATGGAACCCCAGGGTTCTATATAGAACCCAGAGGAACCCTTTTTTTAAGAGTGTATAGAACCTTTTAGGGGTTCCAAATACGTACCCCTAACCTTTTCTTCCAAGATATGACAGTCTTTTTGCAGGACTATGGTTGATCAAAGACAGAAACAAAGATATTAAAGCTTGAAACTAAGGACCAATTGTTGTAAGGGCTTTCATTTTACCCACTGGGCTTTACTGGATTTCAATGGACAATAAGTAGTTATGAAGGAAACCGAAAATGCTGTAGGCTTTGTACTTAAAACATTAAATGGAGGCAAATTTGGTTACAGATGCAGTATATTTCCATTTTCTGAACAAATCAGTTTTGTTTAAACTGAACATGACATTCACAACTCATTTTGCTTCTGCAGAGTGACGTATTTCAAGGCAAAACACTAAACAAAAGGTATTATGCCACACGTTGTTCATCCATATTAGACACAAATCACACACATTCATTCACACAAAAAAGCCCAAGTAAAGACCAAGCTTAGATAATATTGTGTAATCATGTCCCATCAACCATGAATGCACCCATAGCACACAAAACCAACAGTTCAACGAACCCTACCGAGGCAAAATGCAGTGTTGGACGTCAATAGTCATGAATCCACCCACATTTTATATTTAAAACATTTAATTAATTCCTACTCATTAATAATTAGTGCCCCATCTGCTCTGTCTGAAACCCAAAGTATCTTCCATCCGCAGGATTTATGTATTATTCATGAAGTCTCGTATGATCATGTCATTCAATGTAGATATATTTCAGGACATGAAAGCATTGCATCAAACATCAAATAAAAGGCACATCAAATCTAAAAAAAACAGTTTGTTGGCGTTTTACATCGTGCACCTTGAAATACCTCTTTGCGATAAAACGGAAAGACCTGACCTAGCAGAGGTTGGGGAGAGGTTATATAATACACCATGAGCACATGGTTTACAGTAGCTGTTGTGGGATGTAAGACAGTCCCTGTACAGTAGGAAAGGCCATTTGAATGCTGTGTACTATAACTGTTTGCACCACGTTTGTGAAGAGGATTTGCTGGAAAACCCTGCAAAACGAAATCCAATACGGCAAATCGTCTGTTTCAATGCGCTGGAAGGGGCACCAATGAAAATGAGACCTCATTTCCATATTAAGTGGTAGATTAAGGAAGCCTCCTGGGCTGATGCTAGCTATTGGTTTCCAAGAATATCATAAAATGAGCAAGAATTGAAGAAACATTTAAAACATTCATAATTTAGTGTGTTAAAGGAGACCGACAGAGAAACGAAGAGAGGACAAAGATATTAACGTGGCAATGAGGTTGATGTTGGCCTGAGAAAACCGAGTGAGTCTCACCTTCAGTTCACCTTTTGAAGTCAAATACATTTAAATCATCTGGGAAAGAGTTCAAGGACAAAGTTTCTTGTACTGTATGTGCGCACATATACAGAGTATACCATTAGACCAGAAACATACAATATGCAAGTATGCAATGTCATGCCAAGTAAGACTGGATCCAGTGTTGTAGTCGAGACCACCTCACTCGAGTCCGAGTCGACACCGAGACCAGAGAGAGTCAAGTGCGAGTCAAGACCGAGTCCATAGAGAGTCGAGTCCGAGTCGAGTCCGAGACCAGAGACGGTCGAGTCCGAGTCGAGACCGAGACCAGTGAGGGTTGATTACCCTTGATTAGGGTTGAGGGAAATTTACTTTTATTTACTTAGAGAAATCCTTTTTTTTTTTTACTGAATTTACTTAGAGTTTAAAAAATATGATCAGTTTTGGGTAAAACGGCCACATAGTAGGTGGTGTTAAAAGTAATTTTATTACAATTTGTCATGCGCAGTTGCGCACTAGAAAATCACCAATCACTGGGCGTATCAATCAATTTAAAGAAATATTTTATTCACATACATTAATAATCATGAAAAATATTTTTAATTGAACTCGGGAATAATTTCGAGTCCTAAAAAAAAATGTTCGAGTACGAGTCAATTCCGAGTCCAAATGCACACGAGTCCATGACAAGACCAAGACCATTAAAATATGGTCTCGAGACCGAGTCCGAGACGAGTCCGAGTCTCGAGTACTACAACACTGACTGGATCAACAACTTTTGTTGATCCTGGAACAACATTCCTGTCCAAAAAGAGTCGCAACCCTTTTACAATAACAAAGGCGTATATTAATGACGTATATTCCGCATTAAGCTGAATTATGGATCTTGTCGTCAAGCTGGTGGATCGTGAATACATTGATGTTTTTAGCATGATTGTAGTACGAAGCAGTGCGTGATTGCTAGACGTATACCAGCGCAATGGTTCCATCCCCCGCTTCATATATGGAACTCCAAAATGGTTCTATATAGAACCATTTTTTTGGGGTAAAAGGTTCTATTGGCCAAGTATGGAACCCCAGGGTTCTATATAGGACCCAGAGGAACCCTTTTTTAAGAGTGTATAGAACCTTTTAGGGGTTCCAAATACGTAGCGCTGATAGAACCTTTTAAGGTTCTATATAGAACCTTTTCTTCTAAGAGTGTATGCAGCTATTTACAACTGAGTGTCCAGGTAATATATGACAGCCACAAAGTTTATAATCACCTTGGCTAGTTTGTGTGTCCACCGACCTCTTGCATGTGCCTCAAAGCTATTAGACATAGAAGCAATACTGCTTGATCAGCAAGTCAATATCTACGTTAACATTGGGCCCCAAGTCAGTAGAACAGTTTAGACACAAATAGGCAATGCTGACCACTACGACTAACATCAAAATTATCTTTGCTGCCATTATCACAAACGTTGATATGATTTTCTCTTCAGCCAGCACATAGCCCAAGGGCACCAAAGCGAGAGCCAGGAACAAATACAGTCGTGTGTGTCCTGCCGCCGAGGCTAATAGACAGGGCTAGCAGGCTCTTGGTTTACAACCGTCAACCATTAATGAAGTAAATAATCACTCTGGATGGTGATGAAAATGGAAGGACGCTTATTTGGCTTGATGGAGGAGTCTTAATCAGTGCTTTTCTGGTCTATTGGAGAGGAGGGGCGAAAATTATGCGGGGAAAGCCTGAGATTAGCATGAAACGTGATCGAGATGCCTCTTGTGAACTCTGTGGCTTCCGTCAGTCAAACGCACACTTGGCTCACGTTTAAAAGAGTGTGTAAATGCTAAAAAGCACGTGTAAAGAAGCCTCGGGGTGGGCAACTGCCGCCTATTTCATTACGCCAGGTTAAAGCTAAGCTCTGGAATAGTTTGTACGACTGCGGGGGAAGTAGACCATCTGCTGTGTTTCCAAGACTCTTCTTTGAACTTCCCTTTTTTCCGCTCATCACGGGCGATACTGAGGGTTTAGAAATGTCATTTCCTTTAAATCTCTGGTAATGAACACTAAGTGTGGCAGGAAATGAAGAGCCTTGACAGACAGAGAGTTTATCTTCATGGTTGAAGAGGCATGTGACATTTTCTTTGATTAAAGATAAACGAGGCGTTGTGTATTACAGTCACGTCCCGCAGAGTCAACTGATCGAGTTACAACATATTTACGCAGCCATGTTTCATATTTGAGGCAATCGTTTGATATCCCATAGCCTACAGCAAAAACCCGAAGCATGTTGCCTGTCCATTATCATCCACAAGGGTCCTTTAAAGCAATCTTCACTTGCCTCATGATAACTCATTTCTGCTATATGTTTCTCCTTTTACCTCTTTTCCTGGATTGATCCTGATGTCTTCTGGGTGAAAGTGGACAGATTTTTAACCACAGGAAGGGAGGCTCACCTAGAAACAAATCGAATGTAGCAACTCTCAAAGACGAGAAATTCTCAAGCATTCTCTGGTAAGAATTCAGAGAAAAGTCTCAAGTATTGTGAAGGCTCTTTCATACTAAGTATGTAAAATGTGATTTTTATTTGAAAAACATTACACCCCAAAATCAAAAGAGAGGAATTAAATTTTACTTGATGCACATGAGGGCTATTTTATACCCTTGAGGGGACATACGAAACAGTGGACGTTATCTAGTGCACTCAAAATGCACCACAATAACGAGTGTACAACTGACGTTGACTCAACGGCTAGATAATACCCATAATGCATTGTAATCCCGCCAGTAGGGGTCCAGCAGCTGAATCCAACCATCTTCCAAACCGCTGGTCCAATGTGGGTAATATCATACAGGTATACAACTGATTTCTAAATTGTTTACCTAAATTATTTTCCATGACAGAGTTCAGTAATATTTTCATTGCTGCTTGCTATGTTTTTATTCACTCCTTCAAGTGGACTATACAGTGGACAAATGTATTATGACAGCCAATGTTTTATGTCTGTTTTTGGGTGTGTTTTAGTTCTTTTTCCTGGGTTTGAGTTAGTTTCTATGGTTTTTAATTGATGCGATTATGATTTGCACCTTTTGCTCATTTGTTGATTAGTTTGCTTTGGTATTTAAGCCCTGCGTTTTCTCATTATCTTAAATGTAATTCATTACCGTATTCATATTCATTACCGTATACCGTATTCATTATCATGCTGGAAAAAACACAAAACCATAAGAATTATTTGTTATTTAAACGCCTTAAATGTCAGATTTATCTAAAAAAAAAATTAATAAAAAGCATTACAGTATTTAAGTAGCGAGGTAAAAGATACCGTTTAACATTAATGATAATACTTTAGAGTAAGCAAAATGTGATATCCACAATTCTCCCAGCAACTAAAGTGTGGATCACATTTTACACCAAAAAACCCCACAAGGATTTGAAGACATTCACACTTATCTCACAACAATCGAAATGTATTACGATTCCTTCGTAGTTATCATTACCGTAATGCAAATTAAATTAACCATTTTAATTACCATAATGCTGAAAAAACAAAAATGACCAATTACCATTTTTGCCATTGAAAACAAAATAGACAACTGCCTAATTTTAAATTTTAAATCCATAAAATGCTCATAATGAGAATAACGAATGAAATACGAATATTCTTGGCTCCGTAATGATTTTTTGTTCCTCTTTTGCAAGTCGCTTTAGATAAAAGAATCTTCTAAATGCATGAATGTAAATGTTAGTGTAGTGTTTTTTTTCTTTCTTGACATGGGGTGACATGTGACCTGGAAATGATCTAAAGTTAAATATTGTATATAGGTTTGTTTAATTTACTGTAATGCCACTTTGTTTACATGTGACGCAAATCCCTCAACAGCTGTGAGGTGAGAACGATCCTGTAAACTGGAGCGATGTCATGTTTTAAACCCATGAATAATTAACCGTAACTCAAACAAGCTGAGTACCAAACATCCAAACATCGCTCAGGGTTTAGGTGCCTCATCATCATTCTGGATTTATGTGGATTGGGCAAGTTTTATAGTTATATGGAGCTTGTTGTGTTAAGTACCTAATCTCGACAGTAAATTACATTCACTTGCTTGGTTGATTTGTGGTGAGATGTAGCACACGTGTCTCCTCGTAATAACTTTGGTTCTCCTTTAAGCGTCAACTATTGCGGTGTGCTGACATGAAGCAAAACAAGCTGACCTCAATTTAAGGGGAAAATCTTACAAAATAAACATAATGGAGAGAGCAGGCTGCTACAAGAGCCAGGGGTACTCTTAATGACAATGAAAACAAGATGAAAAATCTGGGTACTTCTAATTAGTTACAAATAAATTACCCAGCATGCAACACTCAAATTAGCAACCTTTACTGACCCTGAGGGGCACAAAATGCCTACGGCTGTTCAATCATTACCGGGCGACCATCTGCAAACAGAACTTTACTAAAAGCACTAAGGATAACATTTGATACTTTTTTTTTCTCAATGCAATTACAACAAAGAGCTAATGTTTGTTTTGCTAATTGCATGTTTTATTTCACTTTCGCATTATCACATTCACTATGTTCCCATTGATTTTTTTGGCTTGTGCCTCAGAGAATCTCATTAACCTCATGCTTCAAAATAAAGCTTCCAAAAGGTGGTTTTCGCAGTGATGCCATAGGAAAAAATAAATTTTTTTTGGTTCCTTGAATAATCTTTCAGTAATCGGTTCTTAAAAGAGCCCCCTTTTTTAGTGTGAACTTCTGTGAAGAACATTTGAATAATTTAAAGAACCTTTTCCACTAAAGAGGCTTATGTGCAATGGAAAGCTTCCCTGGATGTTAAAAGTTCATCATGGAGCCATAAATGCCAATAAAAAATCTTTATTAAGCAGCCGAGTAAATCTGCTACATATTCTGACCTCAGAACAAACTAAAAAACCCTGTCCTAAAGACAAATCAACATTTCTCAACTAGAAATTTGATTTATTGTGAGCCTCTCCACAATACACTCCAATTTCCTGTTTAATTCAAGACTGCAAAGTAATAAAAAGGAGTATGATGACGTGATGATGTCAAAAGGAGATGATGACACTGTGAAATATGGTAATTATGAGAATGAAATGTGATTATATCCAGCTCGGACACGGAAAAATAAAATCATTGTGGCCCAAAGATGTACACTGAAAGAGGTCTGAGTTTAAAGAAAATCTCCAATCAATAATCAAGAAGGTCAGGATCTAATTGAAAACCTATGAATAGGACACGAGCATCTGTGTATGTTGTATTTTATTTTTTTTGTTTGTTTTTTGTATATTGACCTGACGTGGGACTAGAGGTGACATTCACGCTTATCTCACATGAAAATGGAGATAGCTACCAACACAAGTTAATTAACGGCTGTGTCGTCCATTCAACTCAAAGTGTAATCCTGTAGTCATTACAGAAACACAATAAGAAGTGCTGGAGGAGGCACACACACGAGTGACCATTGATAATGGAAATGAATGAGGAACTTAACAAGAACACAGTGACACACACACACACACAAAGAAACACACATCCATGCCTTAACTTTTTTATTTAATTTGAAAGTGCACATTGTAGACATACACATATGAATGATGTAACATGCTTGGGTTTGTAGTAGAGTGAGTAATGAATGAAATGACACACTAGTGTAAATTACACACTACACAAAAAAGCTTTATGAACACACAAGCCTTGGTTCAAACTTTGCTCAACAAGATTTAAATTTCCAAATTGTTAGAGTAAATGGACACGACAGTCTTTTTTCCCAGCAAGCTGCAATGCCGAATAGCCCCCTCACACATCCATACATACACATATATATATATACTCACCACATATGTTTTCTGGGAGGCAGGCTACGCTCTCTGTTGATGGCAGTCACCCCTAGAGCCAGCTGCATTACAGTAATGTATTTCTGGTAATTCACCATGGTACTGTTCACCGCTTTTTTGAAACACAAAAATCCGCACCAGAAGCGCAGGTACTACTAATAATGACAATTTTATTCTCTCCTCTTCTCCTCCTACTCCCTGGCATCGGCTTCAACTGCGTCTTCCTTGTTGAACATCACAGCGCCATTTCCAGCAGCAGTAGCAGCACTGACAGGGAAAACACTCCCCGCGAGGGAGCACGCCGCTGCCACCCATCACTACAATGACAGTCTGCTCGTATTACCTCTAAGAACGGAAAGCGCACCAATCCATTCGTTATTAGTCACGAGATGGGCATTCTTTTCCCGCCACTCGCGCGTGCTGCCACTTTGCTTAGAACGCGGGCTCGCTCACAATCTCTCTCTCTCTCTTTCTCTGTCTCTCTCTCTCTCGCGCGCTGCAGCGTCCACGCGCCCGTGCGTGAGGTAGCTAGCTAGGGGAGTCTGTGTAGGTGTGTGTTTGTGTGTGTGTGTGGAGTTTGGAGGGGGTGACTTAAAGGGACAGCTCACTCAAAAATGTAAATCCTGTCATCATTAGCTGTTTCCATCCACATATTTTTATGCACATTTTAGAATACGCCAGATGAAAATACCAAGAAGCACATTCCCATGAAAACTGTTCTATCGAAATGTTCTCTTGAAAATCTAATATCAAGAGAGTTTTATATCACAGCGACAGGTAGATCCATCCATGTTAGAGATCTGGGTCGCTAAAGACCCAAATATGTAATTGTGGTGAATGCAAGATACATAATTCACCTTTGTTAAGTGTAGTTCTATACACTGTTGGTTGTAAACACAGCACTCTGTTCTTCACGACTGTTAAGGGATCGCGTTCCCTTTAAAATGCTCTGAACGTGTGTTCACGTGGGACGCATGTCAGCGCCATTTGCGATTATTATGTTTTCTTTCTAATAATAAACGACACACGCATTCGTGTGCTCAAAGTGAGAAGTTGTCTGTCGCAATTTACTGCAATTTCCACACTGGTGACCCCGACATTAGTCTGCTGGACGTATCCAGAGACACGACTCGACCATGACCGCGAACGCTGTCACGCTTAAACTCCCCGAATTCTGGGAATCGTCAGCATCTGCATGGTTCGCCCAGACTGAAGCGCAGTTCGCGTTACGTGAGATCACCGCGGATACAACGAAATACTACTATGTTGTGTCGGCTCTCGGAAATTCAACAGCATCCAGAGTGGTGAGCCTTCTTACAAATCCTCCCGAAAATGAGAAGTATGCAGCACTCAAAGCCCACCTATTGAAAACGTTTGAATTGACGGACACTGAGAGAGCCAACAGGCTTTTCTCACTTCAAGGACTGGGTGACAGCAAACCGTCTGAGCTCATGGACCGCATGCTGGATCTTTTAGGTGAGCACAGACCAGATTTTCTATTCACACAGTTATTCCTGCGTCAGCTACCTACCCAAGTGAGAGCTGCATTAGCTAACACCACAATCACTGACTGTCGGAGACTGGCTGAAGAGGCCGATAAATTTTTTCTGGCGAGTCACGGACATTGTGCGGCCGCGTTTTTTCCCGCGCACGTTGCTACGGTGACGGGGGACGATTCCACACTCATCGGTGCAACCACTTCTCGTCGGCAGCAGTCTTCTGGCTCCCAACAGCTTACAGGCTTGTGTTTTTATCATGCAAAGTTCGTTTGGCACGGTCTCAAGAAGGATGTTAGGGACTGGGCTAACACCTGTGTTGAGTGCCAACGTGCCAAAGTACACCGCCACACTAAAGCCCCATTAGAGACTTTCCCGGTTCCTGAGAGGCGTTTTGACCATGTAAACGTGGACCTGGTTGGTCCTCTGCCCTCCTCTCATGGTTTCACGTATCTGTTAACCATGGTTGACAGGACCACCCGTTGGCCTGAGGTTGTGCCACTGACGTCAGTGGCATCCGTCGAGATGACACGGGCATTTATTGCCACCTGGGTTGCCCGTTTCGGCACCCCTTCGGACATATCCTCTGACCGAGGTGCGCAGTTCACGTCTGAGCTGTGGGGCGCTGTCGCACGGAGCCTCGGAGTAAAACTCCACCACACGACCGCATATCATCCGCAGGCTAACGGACTCTGTGAACGTTTTCATAGGGCAATGAAGGCTGCCCTGCGTGCCAGCCTCAAAGACAGCAACTGGGTCGACAAGCTCCCGTGGGTGATGTTGGGCATCAGGACTGCACCTAAGGAGGACCTTCAGTCCTCATCCGCTGAGCTTGTTTATGGACAGCCGTTGCGGGTGCCAGGGGATTTCGTCCCTAACACCACAGTTCCCTGGTCTGCTACTCTTCAGCGATCTACTCTATTGGACAATGCGAGGCTTTTCGCACCTGTCCCAACTTCCTGTCACGGCCTCCCTCAGTCGCACATTCCTACTGGTCTTCAGACGGCTGACTACGTTTTCATTCGCCACGATGCCCACAGGGGACCGCTACGCCCACCCTACGAGGGCCCGTTCCGGGTTCTGGAGACAGGGGACAAACATTTTGTGGTGGACAGGGGCGGCAAACCGGAGCGACTCTCCATTGATCGCCTTAAACCCGCTCACTTGGACATAGCTAGGCCTATTGACCTGGCTCAGCCCCCACGACGTGGACGGCCTCCTGCTCTGCCCCCACCCCTTGCTCCCCTACCTCCCACACTCAGTGCCCCACACCCGTGTCATAACGGGACGCAGGTTGCAGTGGGGTCTCCTCGACCTCCGGCACAGCGCAGCCGTTGTGGCCGGCTGATACGCCCACCTCCCCGTTGACTGTTTAGTTCTTTTCCTGATACGGTGAATTCTGGGGGGACGTGTGTGGTGAATGCAAGATACATAATTCACCTTTGTTAAGTGTAGTTCTATACACTGTTGGTTGTAAACACAGCACTCTGTTCTTCACGACTGTTAAGGGATCGCGTTCCCTTTAAAATGCTCTGAACGTGTGTTCACGTGGGACGCATGTCAGCGCCATTTGCGATTATTATGTTTTCTTTCTAATAATAAACGACACACGCATTCGTGTGCTCAAAGTGAGAAGTTGTCTGTCGCAATTTACTGCAATTTCCACATAATAATGATTGGCGAAACATTCTAGCCTGGGTTTCCCCATTCTGCCTCGCCGCAGCGCGATTTTATTCGCGCTGCTAGGCAGTCTGGATACCATGAACCAAATTTTCCCCTGAAATAGGGAACCAATCACAGAACGGGGAGGGAGCACAGGCGCATTTGATAGACGTACAGACGTGTTTGATAGATATTCGTAGCACCCAATAATACGGCTCTGGGCATTCGTAAACCACGCCTCAAATACGAGAAATTCGTATTAGCCAGGCTAGAAACATTCATGCATTTAAGGGTTAATAATCTCAATAAATAATTATTCTACCAAATAATAACGTTCATTATTGTATGAGATATTGTAGTAGATACATTAAGATGAAATTTATATACAATTTAATTCTTGTAAAGGCAATTTTACAAAAACAGATCAACCTATTTTTTTTTTAGAACTTTTTATTTAGAGGAATATAAAAATGTAGGAATATTTCTGAACCTTTTTAAATCCTTGAATTTAATGGTTTTCTGTTACGAAAAATGCTTAAAACCTGTCCAAGAATTCAGGCTCATAATATGACAAATAATTATTTTGTATTTATTATTAGAATATAATAGGTTTAATTGTGTTTTGATTTAATTGTGTTGTTAAATTCACTTATTTTGCTTTAAGTATCATGATGCAACGCTGCAGTGCCTCATTCATGACAATGTAGTTAATGAAATTATTTGTCAGATAAATATTTCCATCATTAATAAGGCAAATGCAATGGAATCTAGGGTTATACTTACGTGTATTTACAGTATTCATACCCAAGAAAGTACTGGGTAATATAATGCAACAAAAAGACTTAAGGTTCGTTTTAAGGGTAGGTTCAGTTTTATTATAGTTATCAATAACAGGACTAAAATAAAGTGTTACCGAATCACTGAGAGCAGCTGTGACACTGCAATAAACCCCAATGCAACATCCACTCATAGCTCAAAATTAACCAGAGAGAATATAGCTTGCTTCATTTGATTTCAATGTGGGATGTACAATTTAGCCAAATTCTGTTTGGGGAATAATTTACTTTTCAGATAGACTGAGAGCTAATTTGCAGTGATTTCATTTACCCAGGTTCTATTCTTGGACATGGCTGCAATGATGCTTACACTGCCAGTATCAAGATAGCGTTCTGCATAAGTTAGATCACCCTGTTCTTAAGCAAATCTGTTTTGATGTAATGTCATTGTGCTGGATATGTTCAAGACAATGGGCTGGATAGAACAAAGAGTTGGTGCTGAATCTTGTACAGGTAGATTGTAATTATGTTGGTGACGTCACTAGCGCTGTCAACCCACTGAATCGTGCACCGGTGCTTCATCTCCAATTATCAAATGAGACCAATTATCCGTGACATGCAGAAAATGGGCTTGCATTCAAACAATGACATCTGAATGAAGACAAAGAATAAATAGATGGCATACTATGTTTTCATACAACTCTGAGCTCTGTAGTGACTGAAACTCCTAAAAGAGATGCTGACAGCTTGTTGGCGTATGAACATTTCTGTCATCTCAAATGATTCGTACTCTTGAATTTATACTTGAAACCTTTAAAGCTTTGTTTTTAAAAAAACATATACGAAATTATATTTGGTGTATATAACACAGGAAGTTAGCAAACGTATCGGATTGCAGTGAAAAACAAGGCGTTTGTGTTAGTGCAACTGATTTACTATTATTCAACAGAATGAAATCATGTGTAAAATTTTTGGATTGGTGATCCAAGCAAAACAGTTCCTGCAGTCTGGCGGCCTAATGCTTCTTGAGCATGGGACACCTTTAACTGCAGCACTATCATTTCATGTGCACGACTGCACGGACACACACACACACACACTCATTAGGAGTAATGGTGTAATGGGCGTAATGGTTTCTCTCTCCATAGGTGTAATGGGTTGTATCCACCTTATTCTGCTCTAAACAATGCGCGCTGCCATGACAACGACTCCGGTTGTCAACTTCCGGTTCAAGTCTGGTCTATGCTTTTTTGCCATGCGTTTTAGATTTGTCTCATCCCCACATCGCTAAACTAAATCGAAAAAACATTCATCAAATGTGATCTGATCACGTTATTTTTTATTAAATCACAGATAAAAACAAAATGAACGTTTTTCTTTTCTTCATAACTTCCAAAGCATATAGCTGATGCATGACTGCACGATCTCCCTAATCCAGCACGAACATCCGACAGTTTCTATCACCCCGACTGCTGCAGAATAACAGTACTATATAAGGTTAGGCTGGTTAGTTGTCTACCTCTGCTTTCAAAGATGCATAGT